TTCTTTTTGTGACATTAAAGGCACGATGAGTCCTGATTTCCTCATCTTCATCAGCTGACGGGGACGTACGCGCCGTAGGCGAGCCGGTCCGGCTCCTGACCTTGCTCTTGAGCGGACACCCGGCGCCAGTAGTGGCCTCCAGGCCCTGTCGTGTGGATCACCTCAGCTGTCTGCCCCTTCGCTGCAACAGTCACGACACAGTCACCACAGTGAGTCCCCGCCGGCCGGGCTGGCCCCCGCCCCCCTGCCCCGCGACCCATAGGACCGTACCGGCCGAGGTGACGAGCCCCCGGATGCCGATGACGCCGGCGAGCAGCAGCGCCATGAGGGACAGCGTGACGGCTTTCCAGGACTGGAGCAGCGACAGCAGCACGGCGCCGGGCAGGATGATGCCCAGGGCGAACACCTTGAGCAGCACCAGGTAGCGCACCAGCAGTCGGCGCACCTGTCGGCGCCGTCCTGGAAACAGGCGCCCCTCTTAGACGTGGTCGCGCTATACACGCCCCCGTCCCTCCCGCACTCCCGAGCCCCTGCTCATGGTCGTTCCATGAAAAAGGATTCCGTCCTGGATACACCCACAACAACAACGGGCGGCCGAGTCCCTCCCGGTCCCTCCCCGCGGGGACGACGCGCTGCCCCCGCCCGCCGCCCGCAGCCGGGCCGGGCCGAGCCGGCGGTTTGCGAGGAAGGCATTCCCCACCACTTCACACTTTCTGCACACTCCCCGGCAGCTGCCGCCACTTTGTCATCAATTCGTCACCTGTCACGGCGAATATCCGATAAATGCCCGCCGGACAGCCGGCCCGGCGCGGCGCGGACGCGCACCACCCTAATTATCCGCCAGACGGCTCAATCTCCATCCATTTCCATGTTTCTTTACCGCTTCCTGGTCGCGGCAAAAACACTACGAGGTTTGTCTCGCCCTTCCCTTTCTCTCGTAGTGTTAGAAAAAATACTTGCCGGAATTACTCGGGCTTATGACGCACCCACCTTCTCCGACGTTGTCCACCGCCCTCGCCGTCCTGGTGTGGCTGGCCGCCGCCCTGGTCGCCTCACCCGATGAGGCGTACTCGTTGATGGCGGCAGCGCCCAGCTTGGTCACGGCCTGCACCAGGAAGCCAAACTGCTCGCGGATCTCAGAGCCGAATTTGGAGTCCTCGCTCTCGCCGCTCCAGCCGTCGATGAGGGTGGTGATGACTTCCGCGCCCAAGGTGGAGTTCTTCTTCGGCTTCTTCCTGGTCAGACTGTCGTCGACGGTCGGAGGGGGATGCGACGTCACCTCAGCGGGACGCCGTCGTAGAGTCGACACCTCCCCGGGGGCCGCGGTGAGGGGCACGCGAGCCGCGGTGGCGGATACGGGGGCCGTGGGGGCCACGGTAGCGGACACTGGGGCAACGGTAGCGGACACAGGGGACACGTTAGCGGACACTGGGGCAACGGTAGCGGACACAGGGGAAACGTTAGCGGACACTGGAGACACAGTCGCAGCCACGGGGGCCAGAGTTGCGGGCCCGGGGGCCCCACTGGATGACACGGTGTCTGCTGCACTGCTGGTCAAGTTGGCGTCATCGGAGAGGAGCCCGCCGGCCTGGACCCGGAGCAGGTGGCCCGCCACGCTGCCCCCCTGCTCCAGCACGCCGCACCACAGAGCGAAGCACACCCACAACACCCAGCAGCGCATCTTGTCTGCGGTGGTCGCACAGTCACACAAACACACACACACACACACACGCACGCACGCACTGACGTAGCCACACACTGCCACACGCACTCTGCGCCACACTCGACGCCCGCGGAGCACAACACGACACTGATTGGACCTCCGCGGACGGAGTCGTCTTTATAAGTTGGTGTCACGTCGAGGCGTGTCGCGGCCCGGCCCGGGACGCTACCAATCGCCCCGGGGCTCATTACACATGCAGAGCTGCGTGTGTGTGTGTGTGTGTGTGTGTGTGTGTGTGTGTGTGTGTGTGTGTGTGTGTGTGTGTGTTTCTCTCCTCTCTACGATTCGCACCCCTCACCACCGCTGTCTCTTCCCCCCTCTCTCTCTGTAGCGCGGTGGGTCTCCTCCTTGTCAGCCCCATCTCCACCGTGCTGATCAATGCGCGCGAGCAGGGATGATGAACCATATGGTGCACGATTTAATTCCTGTAGGAAATTTGCTTGAAGGGAACGTCCGGAAAGTACGTCCATTGTATAGGCCATTCCGCAGAACAGAACACGCATGTAGACTGCAGACCTACCAGGCGCTATGAGGGCGTGCATGGGCTGAACTTGTCAGGTTAGGTTCGTAACAGCGAATGACGGGCGTACTTTCTAGGTGACTCCACAAGCAAGAAAGGTCTCTGTGCCACAGAATCTCCACCGCGAAAGCTAACTTTAAACATTTTAAAGGGGGGCTTCAAATTTTGGGCTGATCCGGCCCCGCTCATTTTTGTAGTAAGGCGTTCGGAGGGGTTTGCCTTCCTATAGTCTCTGACCATGGTTCCTCTTCCTAATCGCCCAAGCAAGTAGGCATAGGACATGACGTAACAGACATAGGCAACCCGCCCGCACGCCCACAGAGCGGGTCAGCCTAACCACGGAAGTGGGTGAAGTCTATCAGCCGCATCTGGTCGAACAAAAAGTCTCCAAATTAAGAACAAAATTGAAAACAAGGACAGCAATGCAACCTCTTTTTTGAGGTGGGGGAAGGGTGCCCTCTTCGGCCCTCATTGGCCCTCCTTTTGTCTCGACATCAGATAACACTATGATTCGGCCGATCGACTTTTGCCGCCTGCTGGCGCAACGTGCCCATCCGGACGAGACCAACCCCGATATGATGGGCTCCATTCATGATGGGGTGGCGGAGGAATTATTGTTGGGGTAAGCGCTTAAAAAACAAAACAAAAAACAAACAACAAACAATAACGCCATCAGTGGCTTTTACTTCTTTCTTCTTTAAGGTGGATTCAGAGTTCACAAGATGCGAGCGTGATTTTCACGCCGCTAGCGTGAAAAGAGTTGCTTTGGTTAGCAGTTGACTTTATGCGACAGCCAATAACAGGCCGACGTGGGGCTATGCCATTATTTTCAGCTGAATCAGCTTCGGAGCTAGCGTGATTTTCACGCAAG